CCAATAAGTAAATTACAGATAGAGGGCCCACAGCCCAAACAAACTCTCGATTCACTCAGCTGAAATAAACAACAAAAGATATTAAATAAAAGATGCTATTAATCTAATTTAACTAGATAGATGATGTTGCCACGTGTTGGTCTTCACCCTTTGAGATCAACGGCCAGAACAACTCCACGTGTCACTTGCGGAGCCACATCTTCAAAATCAGACAAGGGTTGCTTGATTGTCCTAATCCCATTCACTTCACTGTCCACATTTCCTTCTTCATTTCCATAGCCAATTTGTGCTTCTTTCCCTTCAGAATTCCTTTCCATTTCCACAGAGTTCATGACAAAAAACTAAATTAGTTAACCAATATAAATACAAATAAGAAAAACGGTAATTATTTACCTTCTTAGATTTGATGAGAAAATAAGAGAAATGGTAATTACAGCAAAACCCGTGACTCATAGGGGATAATATAATTAAATGCAGTAAAATATAATCTAATAAGAGAAATAGTAACTGTTTTTGGCGGGAATTGGAAGTAATAAAATTAAATGTTGAAATTTTAGGCGGGATAATATAATAAATCCATGTCAATAAAATTAAATGATGTTGCTCCAAATTATATAGTAACTATTTTTGGTGGGAATTGAAAGTAATAAAATTAAATGCTGAAATATTAGGCGAGATAATGTAATTAAATGCATGTCAATAAAATTAAATGATGTTGCTCCAAATTATATATATATATATATAGATATAGATATTGAGGAAATACTGTGGTCCCGTTACGAAACTATCCTGTCGGGTGTTTTAACCGTTCGATCATCTATTCAAATTTTCAATATCATACCATTAATTACTTTCATTATTATTTGAGAAGATAAATATAGTATGGCTAGTTTAGCTCGAATTTAACTTAAATAAATCTTTAATTAGCATGAAATTAGTATGAAAGGCAGAGTCCCACAGGCCACAACCAACACATTTCCTATATTTGAAATTAACAGTTAAATACAAAATTAAAAGTTAAATACAAACATGTATGTATATCTATAGTCACAAGGCCCACAACTTATGCTTAAAGAATATTTACAGATAAAGAATGAATTTTGAATGTAAAGCTAATTTACCTTTTGGTACTGGCGTATTAATTCGTTCCTCCATGTTTGCACATGCAGTCCACTTTTGCACTAAGCACTATATATCCACTTTGGACTAATTACATATATTGGGCTTAATTTATATTTGTCCATTGAGTTGTTCGTTTTTGGTATTCCAATTCGTCAAAACTATACAAAATAAAAATTCCGCCTATATATAATTTTCGAATGTGTTGAGCCTAAGTGACAGACTCACATGATTCGGGATCTTATGTTGCAATTTTTCATGTTTTGTGACTTGGCTTGGTTGAATTTAATTTGCTTTCAATTAAAAAAATAATTAGATTTGATAAATATAATAAATATTTATGGTCTTTTTTATAACATTAATAATGTTCATTTCTTAATCTAGACGTGATTTATAAGGCATAATTTTTTTTTTCCTCAATCTTTCCTTTTTCCACATCTTTCTTTTCAAAATCATGAAAAAATTACCAACTTAAATTATAAGTAGATTTAAAAGTTAATAAATTTTTTATACATAACACATCAAATTAATCTTGTCTTGATGAACTTTAATTTGACACCTATATTGTACATAAAAAAAATATATGAATTATTATATTTATATTTATAATAAATATTAAATTACCTATTAAATAGTTAAATAAATTAAATTACTTACACTACAAGAAAATGATGAAATTCCAACGGAGACATATTCCAATAGAATTGCAACGACAATTCCAATGGATATATCAATGTTATTATTTCCGTTGGAATTATTCCAACGGAAATTCCTACAAAAATATTCCGTTGGAATGAGTTTCTCATTGGATTTTGACGATTCTAACGGTAGATTTTCCAACGGTGGTGGAAATAAAAATTTCAACGAAAATTGCATATTCCAACGGAAATTCCTACGGTCAAAAGCCATTGGAAATATAGCCATTGGAATCATCAAATTCCACCTAAAATTCCAATGAAAAATACATTCCAACGGAATATTTTCGTTGGAATTTCCATTGGAATCATTCCAACGGAAGCCATACCATTGGAATATCCGTTGGAATTTCCATTGGACTATATTACCATAGGATTTTCTATTGGAATATAATTTTTTTTTTTTGTAGTGTTAAATCAATTTAACTACAAACTTGTTAAAGGATAATTTAAAATAATTATTATATTATAAGAATGCAAGTCTTATAAGTGATTAGTGTTTTGTTTAAATATAAATAGTAAAGTAGTTATTCAATAATGTATTTCAAAATGAAAATTAGTTTTTTCATTATTATTTTTAACTTTAAATATAATTTAAATTATATAAACTATGTGTTACGTATCTATTACTATATAATAGAGAGAAGAAAAAATATTTGAAAAATTATTTCATTTTACCGCTCAAATCACTTTTTTCCCTCTAATATTTTGTTTGATATTTTTCCAAAAGTTTGAATTTTTTTCATTCCAAAATTCAGTATGTTTTGGATGAGTTCAATATGTTTTGGATGAGATTCCTTCCATATCGGATAAATTCAAGTTCCTTTTCATTTGGAAAACATATTTTTATTTTAGCAATATATTTGACTTCCTTTTTTTTTAACCGATTATATTGGTCTTCTGTTTAAAATTGATTTTTTTTTTAATTAAAGAATGTACCAGTTTCCTAAACATGATAAAAACATATCACTTCAAATATTTTTTAAAATTGAGGATTCCAACTACTACGATTAATGTGATTAGTACTAACTGATTTTGTTAAATAATATCTTCATTGATTCACCCCAACATGTTTGATAGGTCGGTTCATGAGTCAGTTATGATGCATAAAATCACACAATAGTGGCTATTCAATATAAAACTATTTAGAATATACCAATTCAAAAATTGAGGATTCCGTATAATGTAGGCTCAAAAGCTACGAATTGATTTATTCCAAAAATTGAGGATTTCATATACTACAAATTGATTTATTCTACAAATAATTCACAACTTTACGGTTTAAATAATACAATATGTACATCATTTCCCTTAAAAATTTGATCAACCAACACGATTTTGATGATAATTTTTCAAATTGATCTGTATTCCTTTTGAATATCAGAAAGATTTTTGAACAAATATTAGTTAATAAAATTTAAAATTTGTAATTTAATTTTAGAGAATTAGTTGATAAATTTGAACAATATGGTAACCGAAAAAAAATTTAAAAAATTGAGAGATAATATGTATAAAGAATTTATTGTCTAGTCTAAATTTGGTTTTCCAAATTTAAAAGTCAAATAAGTTATTCTTAATAACTTACAGATTAGTATTAACTTGGACGTAAATAGAATAATCAATTATTTATAGTTTAATAAATTACTCAACTACTTAATTTTTTTATTTAGATAGTTTATACAAAAATAAATTCAATTTAGTTAATGAAATAATATAGTCTTATAACTGTACTTATTATTCACATAGATTTTTAAATATTCATAACATTTTATCAAAATTATTATTTTATGGAATTACATTGTAGTTAAATTGAATTTCTGATTAAAAATTTTAAAATGACCCTTATTTTGAAATTATATTGTAATTTATTATCAGTTACGTTCACCGTTCGAGTTGTGTACTAATTTTAAATAGACATGTTTTTTATAATTTTGCACAATTTAAATTTCATATAACATTTTCAATAAATTTAGTATAGGTGAATTGTATTCCAATTGATTCCATATTTTTAAGTTATAAATATTATTTTTATATGCATTTTTAATTTATATATATTAATAAATATCTCCTACCCCTGCATAGCACATGATTCGTATTAGTTAAAGAAAATAGAACCAAAATAAATAAATATTTAATTATTTATATAAGAACTAGAAATGTGTTACTATTTATATAAGAACTAGAAAGGTATTACTATATGGTATCTAATCTCCCTAATAATATCTCCTATTGTGCATAGCACGGGATTCGTACTAGTTATTTATAGTGTGGTGTTTCTATTGTGCATGAGGCACTAATTAATCTTACCGATTGATGGATCGATCCGCCATACTTGGTTAATTAAAACGCATACATATGTTGTGAAATGTTTTCGTAGGCAGTTTAACCATTAAAAGAATTAATCCACCATGCGTGTTTAATAAAAGTCCTAACGATATTGTATTGTTATTTTTGTACGTAGTTTTTAAAATATAATATTTCGGTTAAAAAAATATGAATATATGTAATTAGATTTGCCTAACAAATATAAGTACTTAGGGACTGATTGGATATAGGAATATCTGGTTCACTTGACCAGATTT